GACGGCCCCGGCTCGTTCCCCGCTGGGGTTTTAATGGCGCTGGCGGTGCAGCGGGCTGAATCGATAAGAGCTGGACGAGGCACCGGGGTTTAATTTCAGCCTCCGGTATTTAGTTTCAGCCTCTGAGTCACATCTAGTGGCATCGACAAGACTAGAGAAGCGTTAAGTTATAGGCACGGGCACGCGCGGGCGCCTGGGCAAAGGCAGCCTCTAGTACTAGGAAACCATTCATAGGTAGCGCGTGCCAACGACCGCGTTGCTTTTTACGAAAAGACAACGCCGTATACGATCGGCGCAGCAATATCGGACGTGAGCAGCATTTCAGCCATTTTACGCATTTCGTCAACGCCAAATCGCCGTTCCTGTCCTTCGTACCCGTAGCACTAGGACTGCCAACTACGCACAGTACAAACTGAACATAAGCTATAAAACTCGCGTCTTTCTAGTGTCCTGCAATAATTCCTTAAGCCACCATGCCAATCTTTCTATTATTCTGTCTTAATGTGAATTTCAGTAAAGATACAAAAATGCATTGTACCTGAATTATGAACGGCGTGAGTTTCTTCTTGTTAATGGCTCTTTCGTCAATCGTGTCCGGAACAGAAAGATTGATCATTTTGCTGGCAGGAGAAAAAATAACAATATTTAAACAGCATTTAGTATCTCATATCAACAAAAGTTGTTCCACTGCCACAGTACTCATGACAGTATATTTTCTTTTACCGGTTTGTTTTCTGTGGGCGGTTTTAAATCAAGGTTGTGTAAATCAGAAGTTAATATTTATGTTATCAAGAATGTATTTGTAATTAATAGCTAAACCTGAAACCTTAAACATGTCACTGGCTACCAGCGATCTCCACGGCCGGAACAAGAAGAGCGTGTGAATTATTCACTGTGCCGTCACCGAGCTAGCAAAGACTCGCTGCTCCGTTAACGTCCGCTGCAGATTCTGGTGAGACAACGCGCTTCCTCCTATTGTAAAGGTGTGCTAGTGCCAGTAGGGGAAAAAATACACTACTAAAGGAAAAAAATGTAAATGCAAACACTAATGGCTAAGTGGGGAAACATGTGAGCACTAGAACATAAATTTTCAGTCAACAGAAAACACTGCAAGTTTTTCCCTTTATGCTCCACTTCCTATTCAGTTTAGTCTTCATCTGAGGAACTGAATTACTTGAAGTCGTGGAAATTAAGAAAAAAATCCACAAGTTTTAAAAAAAATAATATTTAGCCCACTAGCAATCCCTTGCCTACTGATATGGCATTACTGAAATTCCAAGCCAATCCAGTTTTCCCTATATCCATTCAGTTACATTAAAAGAAAACAAAACATCCTTAAGCAGAAAGCTAGTTGTTAAGCAGCCCTGGATTCCTCCCATTTTTCAGCGTGCAACGTCACTAGCCTAGCACAGCTACCATTAAATACAACGAGAGGATCCCCAGAGATCCCATTTCTGGGTTAATTCATAAAGTTACCAACCCCTCCAGAGGTTGCTGTCATAAGCCTTTGCGATTCAAGCAAATGGAAGATTTAAGACAGCTTCCTTCTCCCCCACAGCAAACTCTGTCTCAAACTGAAGCAAAAGCCTTAGACAAAAATACTAGCTTGTGATGTTGGCATCAAAGCAGAAGCACCATGCAATGACATCAAAAGCCCGGGCTATTAAGCTCCCCTTTATACATGCAAAAACACTCTGTGCACAAAGACTGGGACATAAAAGCAGCCTAGAATAGAAAAAAATACCCCTAAATAAGATTTTTTTTTTTAATTAAATTCAGGACTTACCACAGCACAATCCCATCTCCCACAGCTTTGAACAGGTCATCTGTATTGGGGTTCATTGGAATAACGTGCCTACAGTCGGGATCGTTCTCCAGGGCTTTGTTTATCCAGTTTACAAAGGCATATTTTTCTTCCTCTAGGATAACCAATTGTAAATTTACTACATGCTCCCTCATAACATAGCAAAGACGTCTGCCCCCCCCCAAATCACTATACAATAAGCCCAGAGGAAAAAAAAAAAAACAAAAATCACACTACCACACTTCTTTTATTACTCATACAAAGGTCATCAGCAAAGTTAACACAACAAGTAAGCATACATTTACCACCTTGCATTACCCTATATTTAAATCTGCTCTCACCTCGATCTGTGACCATTTGGGTGTGGGAGACCCAAAGCCCAGCACACGGCAGGTAGCAGAAACTTGCTATTTTTGGCGTATGGCCTCTGCTCCCCCAAGAAAACAGCTGAGCGTCAGAGCAATACCTGAATACGAGTGCTGCGTTCCTTCGCTGGAGAGCTCCGACGTGCCACCAATTGCACAGATTCCTTCCTTTCGGTTAATTGCTTTTCTGAAAGTTTTAGCGATATCACTGCTTTTCACCTCTTGGAAAATCTAGAATTCAAAGTGCTTGTGTTAGACCCAAAAAGTTACCTTGGTAAGAACAGAAGGAACACAAAATGAAGCTTTCTATTTCTTCTTAGCTTCCAAGCAAACTCTGCAGTATGATCAGCGAAAGTGAGTAGCCTAGCAAAGTTGTAGTGGTTTTAAATGTAACAGGGGTGGGGGGCAGAGAGCTGTCCCACTCTCTCTCTAGCAAGTCAAATATTGCAAGCGCCTCCTGAAACAAAAGCGTTAGGCACAAAATCACTTGCACACATTTATCTTTTCAAGTACCACTAGAAAACCGTGAAGACTTTGCAGTATGACAGCAGGTACGCATGCAGCAGCTTCCAGAGGAACAAGGTTCATAAAGCTGTTGTGCAACTTTAACGTTTCTGTGAAAGCCAGACGCTCACGCGAACGTGACTTTAGTTCATACAGACGACTTTGTCCACGACCACTGGAGACAAAACCTGATTCTCTTTAGGCATGTAACGACCTCATCTCCTAATCTGTAGCAGCAAATGGTTCAGGTAAGGCTGCTTCCACAAGAGCACGCTGGGCCTGACTAAGTGCCCTCATGTTTTAGGGCGGAAGAGATGCTTTAGCACAGAAAGATCATGCCGTGCTGTCTGCGCAGGTGCTATGTTACTGCTCATGGCCTCAGTGCTCTACAGAACTGAGTGACTGTTAGGAAAAAACATATTAAATGAAGTTTGAAAGACCACTAACTCCTTCAACCAGCCCAACTAGTTTCAACCACCCTAGGGACACCAAAAAAACAAACAAAAATGAAAAACACTTCATTTTTTTCACCTGTTTCTACCAGGTTCCTGCAGTGCTTGGCTCTTCCACCTGGTACTGCAGCACCCTCCTCCAACCTCAGCCCCCCCACCCAACCCTGCTGCACTCCCGCAAGCTCCTCAGCTGCCGTACACCAGCCGCAGCCCAAGGAACATGTGCAGGTGCGCTCTCTAAATGCTATCTAGAAAGACATAATCAAATAGCACTGCAAGACAGCACGGTGAAGTGCTTCTGCTAAAGCGAGGAGACTTCTCCATCTGGCTGCAAGAAGCTTTACCCATCAGGGCCAACACACTGGCTAGCACACTTCATCTTTCCCAGCCCATTAAACACAGGAACCCTGGCAGGGCCAGGTTTTCTGTTGGTCTCTCTCACTCTCTTTTTTTTTTTTTTTTTTTTGATTTGGAAGTAGATGCATTTATTTTAACTTTTGCTGGACTGCCATACTGGTACCGCGTAACGTCTTTGAAAATATGCGCTTTAAAGCTGAGGCAACGCTAACTCAGTTGACCAACCTCAACTCAGCCCATGTCATCCTTCATGCTGTAAAACCCAGCAAAAATATTCAGAGTTTCTGTTTGTAAAATCCTACAACTAACCATGGCTTCTACTGTATAATTTAGTTGCCTGTAGGACATTTCAGGCTTACTTGACCATCACTACCGTAAAATCTGACGGGCGGGATTTCTGCTTCCTCCCTAGTGCAAGTTAGAGGTATGACCAGTTCAAACCAACAGCTGAAACATGCACCCAGCATGCAAGTGTTCACAAACTGCAAACAAACTCAGACTTACTAGTTGACTCCGAACTCAAAAGTTCAGAGGGTCTGAAAACAATTAAGGAACAGAAAAAGCTAAATTAAGAAATATCAAGAGAAGTAGTTGACATGAAAACAGTTCTATAAATGCACTGCACAGTTTTATGCTATTATTCTTCCAACATTCATAGTATAAAAAGGATGAAGGGACTCCTTTGGAAATGGTAAGCTTTTATTAAAAAACAAAACAAAACCAAACCTGACTTATTTCTAAAGGAAAACGTCAAAGGTTAGATCCATCTTCCAGCTTCTTCCACCTCCTCACTACTGTTCTTCCTTTTATAGGCAACAAACAGATTTGAATTTTCCTGAATAAGCATCTAGGAATAATCTCCCAAGTGTACCTTGAAAAGACCTCTCAAATCTTTAATAAATACTTGTAGCCCCATGAAATTGAGAAAGGAAGTTATCATCATACTGCTCTCACTGGGAGAATAAGCATTCATTCAAGTGCCTGGAAAAATCAAGTAGCTTGCAGTCAATAGCGTAAGTCTGGAGAACTGAAAGTCTTTTTTCCAGTGCTCCCCCAACATGGAAACGGACTTTCAGCCTCCAACAAACTTTTCACATAGGAAAAGCACGTGGAAGGAAATTTGGAGTCTTTTGGTTAAAAAAAAAAAAAAAAAAAAAAAAAAAAAAAAAAAAAAAACCCCCACCACCACCACCAACTCTGCCCAGATCTAAGGGCCAGCAATGACAAGGCAAAAGGTTGGTCATATGCAGAAGTTTGACAAAGAGCTGATTTTTACATGGCAAATCCTCAAAGGCAATCAGTTGTATAAAAGATAGTTAGGATGAGGGTAAGGGGCCGAGGAGCCAGGTTCAGTCCCTCTTCTTAGCTGTGCCTAAAATGGACCCCTGGGCTGTCTACCTGCCAGCCAGGAGGTACAGCACCACCAGATCTCTGGCAATTCAGAAACACCACTTACATAGACAAACTCTTCAAAGCTAATCTTCCCATCTTTATTCTTGTCGCTGTCGATCATGAGCTTCTGGATGATCTCTCTCACTTTGTACCCAGGGAGAGGCAGGTTGGCTTCCTTGAAGAGCTCGTGCAACTCGTAGTCGCAGATGAACCCATTGCTGTTGAGGTCTAAGGAGGAAAAGGAAGAGAAGAAGGGCCTTTAGCCACGTGCCCATCAACCAGCAGAACGAACCCTCGACAGAGAGGCAGAAACTCAGACCCCGGGCTCAAACGGGCTTTACGAAGTAACATGCACTGCCCATCTTGGAGCCACATCAGACAGACCATTGCTCCTCACTGCAAGCGAGATCTGGGCAGAACAGGCATGCGTTCGAGGACCTACAGCAGGACACTCACATTGGAGACAACTCCACCAAAGCACACTGCGCAATAGACATCACGCAGAATAAACTAAGGATCAAATGCCAAGGGCATGAACTAAATATGCTTCCTTGGAGAGGAAGCAGCAAAAGCCATGAGATTTCCCTGGCTTGCTGCAACTGCAGCTTTGAAGCAGAGCCGAGCAGGATGGCTCTCAGCGCATGCCATCAAGCCTGGTGCAAAAAACTTTGCAAGGAACAGCATCTGCAATTTCGTAAGTTATCGTCACTACTTGATAACTCTTTATGCATTTCTACATCTTTATACATGATTTATTTTATACATCTAACTGCACCACAGCTGGGTTTGCACGTTAAAAATAGGAGGTAACGAAAGAGTGCTTTTTGCATTCTGAACTGAGCACACTTAGTCAGCACTGCATTTACATTTTTTAAATCATGTTGATCATGATGTTATCCATTTACTACTGACACAACTGCTGCCAGATAATTTTAATACTGCCTCAAAATGCTCCGCAAGGACGTTTGCCTTGAGAGTCAGCCACCGAGACCCAGCAGCACTGCGCGCTTAGCGAGACGTTATCGCCTACAGGCACCTTCTGCTCTAGCGGCACAGACAGCCCAGGGGATTTAATTAGGTGCCCAAGCAGCCATCCCCTGCCTGCCCTGGATGAGGAGAGATGCCCAGCCAGGATTACAGCTGCTGATGGGAATTCAGCTCGATGGGAGACGCCAAGTCTCCACCTCCTCTGTCTACAACAGTCATTTGACCACAGGCTGGGCAAGATCGATGCAGCGTCTGCACTGAAGACATCAGCCAAGTCCTTTAAGGCTCCTAAAGGAAAGCAGTCTCCACATTTAAGCGGCCGTGCTACCTTCACCCTGTCCCCGAGATCTCACCCGGGCAGCAGCTGCAGAACCAGCCCGGTCCACCAGCACAGCTCAGTGGCAAAACCAGCCCGCACAGCCCAGCTGCAACGCAAATGGCTCTGCTCAGCTGCGCCCAGCGATCGTCCTGCCCGTGCCCTACAGGACGAAGACTTGTTTCCCCTATTTTTATATAAACATATATATATACACGTATATACAGCGCAGCAGCTTCTCCCTAAGGTTATAAAACCAAGTTCTGCTCAGGCATCATTCCCCAAACGCCATCACAGACTGTGGCAGGCTGCAGCCAGGGAGGAAGGCCACCAGCCCAGCAGACGGCCAGGTCTGGTCTGGTTTAGAGGGGAACCTGCACGGCAGCCGCCTGGGTCAGTCCTTTGAGCATAAGGAGACACTTTGAGGAATAAAAGAGAACAATCAGCATAGCTCAGAAGCTGGGTTCATCCACAAGTGCGGGAAGTCAACTTCTTTTTAATGAGGTGTCAGGCAGGGGTTCTTAAGCTTTATTTCACAACAATGTTCTGGCAAACAGCTTGTTCTCGCTACCACTCCAACCCGCTTTATTTTCCAGATCCGCATGGGACTTTAAAATTGTTTTCATAAGTTAGCGAGAAAGTGAAATGAAAATGGTTAGTGGCCAGCATCCAAGGCAACGCAGAACAAACCTGCACTCCCTCCTGCACCCTTGTCTCAGGTCTCATACTAGAGAAGAGCATCAAGTCCAGGGGATTATTAAATACATTACATTTCTTTAGGAAACGTCAGTGTTTACAGTAATGCTGGTGAAAAAGTGGTTTGGGCCAACAATTAATGATAGCAACAGGCTGCTGTCTGGCCTTCAGGTTTAGAATTTTATTCCAAAAAAATATAAGCTTACAAAGCAAGCTTTATTAAACAGCCCAGTCTGAGATGTCATCAGTAAACTATTTCCCCTGTAGATAAATCACGGCTTCTTCCGTTACAGTTTGCTTAGCACAAAAATCTAACTCCATAATATGCATCTTTTCCCTGCCTCACAGCCAGAGGGGGGGGAATAGGAAAAAGGAAAAAAAAAAAATGCCAAAGAGAAGGGATTTGCTCATCTACAAGGCCTACGGACTTGAAATACAACTTTAGTTTTCCCTTCAGTATGCCCAGAACCAACACCCATCACTTTAGACTCTGCTTGGCTGACCCAACCACAATCTCTTGCCATGCTGCCAAATATAGCAGGTAAATCCAGAAATGCCTGCTCACCACTTGATCCACTCAATCCACCACTCCAAAAAAAAAAAAATTAAGTT